AAGGACACCCTTGGATCCCAACAGACATGGGCTGCATCCCAGCACTGCCTCTTCCCTCCTAGCGACCTTGGGCAAGTCTCGTCAACTGCATGTTCATCCGTGTCTTCATTTGCACAATCGGGAGATCAACTAGACAGTGACTCTCAACTTGGAGAGAAGTTCTTCCACCCCAAGGAATCAAGGGGAGGAGGGAAGGTGGCAGGAGTGTGAGGGCTCCGAGATGGAGAAAGGCAAGGACAGCTGAGGGGACAAGAGAAGGGACAAGGTCCAGGGAACCCTGTGAAAGGAAAGTGGCAGAGACAAGGGGACACTGAGAAGACTCAGGGCTGGGGGCAGAGGCTGGGGTTAAGCGTCCCAGCAGCTTCCTAGCGCCTGTGGCCCGTGTCCCCACATAGAGCAGCAGTGACCCCTTGTGGACGCTGCCCGGGCCTGGCTGTCTCAGAGCTGGCACTTGTCCTCCACGCTCCAGCGCCAGCTCTCACGCAGGCTTTCTCCATCCCGACAGTCACTTCCAGCGCGTCCAATACGGGGCACAGCTGCAAGCGCAACACGGACAGTGTCTCCTCCTCCGAGAACCTGCTGCTCAGCATCTGTGCCTGGGTTAGCAGCTGCGCCACCTACCTGGGCAGCCTCTCTGCAGTGTGCATGCGTGCCTGCTTCGTGCCCGGGCACGGCCCACGTGCCATGGCCATCAAGCGCCTGTGCTGCGAGTGTGGGCCGCATGCAGGGACCAGGCCCAAGAGGGACGAGATGCCTGGCCGTAACCCTGGAGGGAAAGTGACATCGTTTTGCAAATGTGGCTCTAGAGTAGAGGGTGCAAGCCTGTGGGCTACTCATGCTTGCATGTTTGGCCTGCTGCGTGTTATTTTTTAATTTTTCTAATTAATCACCAACATTTTAAAAAGGGTAGATTCCACATGAAAATCTGAATTGCTAGAATCCCTGGAAAAAACAGAAGATGTGACTGTCTGGATATGAATCCACATTCCCACCTGTCCATAATGGATGGGAAGGGAATGGCCACCACCCCTCTAGCTGGGGCATGCCCTCCCCGGTCACCATGGTCTTTGCTTTTCTGTGTTGCCTGCCTGGCTCCTGCAGAAACTTCAGTTTGAGACTCCTGTAATTTTCCAGGAAGGGAACAGGCAGCCTTATTAAAATGAAACACAAGCAATGGAACATCTTGGAAGGAGAGTCTTCAGAGGGGAAGAGCCTTAAAGTCAGAGACCAAGGAGTGCTACAGCGTGGGGCCAAAACAGCACCTTTTATGTCCTTTTCTCCTATAACCCTCCTTCCTGGGCTCATCTCTGCCTGACCCTCGCACTGGGCTCCGTGCTGTGTCATATCACTCACAAGGCAAATAGCAGTAAGGTGCCGCCCGCCCCACCATATGCTACAAACAATAAAGCTGACTACTCATAATTCCTTATAAGGTGGTATTATTCCCATTTTAAAGATAAGGGGACTGAGGCTCGAGAGGGAAAGTAAGGCATGTAGCTAGAAAGGGGTACTGGTTTCGAGCCCTGAGTCCCTGGTGCAAGTACCCCTGGGTAACTAGCTGCGTGGCCACCTGGGTTACCCGCCACATGACTCCTGGAGATGATGACATAAAGTCGCAATACGTGGTAGTGTTGAGTTTGAATCCAGGCAGTCTGGCCCCAGAGCCGCGGTCTCGATCACTACACCATACTTTGCTGACGTGATGGGTCTTAACGTGGGCTTCCCGATTTTTTTTTTAGTTTCTCAAAAACCTAAAGGAAAGCAGATTTTTGTTTTCAATGCCTTCAACTGCCGCAGATCACAAATTCTGGTTCTTTCATGTAATGAATCCTCAAGGGCCCCTTTGAATTTACCCTCTCCCCATGGACCCCATGTTTGAAACAATATCATCGATAACACAAAAACATTCAATAAGCAATCGTTATTTTGTTTGCAAATTTTATAAACGCTGGAAAAGATGTGTGCCCAACCGTCAGAACCAATCTAGACCATCCCCTTCCGGAAGTGAAGTGGCTTTTCCTACAGTTACAGAACCCAGCTCGACCTGACTCCCAGGCCAACGCTTTCCGTGTTGCAACATGCCGCATCCCTGGGAGGCTGGGAAAGTGCTGACTTCCCCCTGGGCATCTACTTCTTCTTCATTGAAGTTTACAACCCATACTATGCTAGCGAGCACAAGCACGCCCAATGTCAGGCCCTGGGCAGCCTGGCCATGGTCTCCAGCTTGCTGCTCCCCTGCACGACCCTGAAGTGCCTGGGCACCGTCTCTCCCTTCAGCGCCCACAGTGCAGGCCACCTGCAGACCCCAGCCACACTGGTTGCCACCAGGCTGCTGGGCTCCACCATCATCGTGGTGCCCTTCTAGTGTTGTGGCCACTTGGGCAATTGCTATAGCAACAACGCCATCTGCTTTCCTCTCCTGTCTGACGCACATACAAGTTTTGCTGCCCGGTGCTACTCCACCCTGCCACCTTCTTGGGTGAGGATGGAGGCATGGTGGGCAGGGGCCAGGCCCCCAGCTTCCTGACCAGTTTAGCTGGCCCTTGATGAATGGGAAGGAGTTGCTCTGCTTCCCTCCTTGGCACCTGGCGGGTAGCTGATATTCAGGTCCTGCCACTGAGTGGCTCACAAGGTGACTGGCCTTCTGCCCAGAAAGCATCATATTGGTTGCCGGCCCCAAGCCACCTTCTGAGACTTTTTTCCCACTGGCTGCAGCTTCCTGCAATGGAGGCCCCATGCCCCTCTCTAAATCCCAACTGCTCATTTGCCCTGCCGAGGGCTCCCCATCAAGCTCTTGAGGTTTGAAGCGCTTCTTCTTCATTGTCTTCACTGGCATTGGGCCGATGCCGGCTGCCCATCTTTCTCCTGTTGGGAAAAGAGCTCCCAGCCCTTCTTCCCCTTGGAGCTGGGGAACCAGGTGAGGGCCTGTGCCCTCCCAGGGAGGCTGGCTGGCAGGGAAGAGGCAGGGCAGGGAGACCACCATTTCTGGACATCTGCTGTGTGCTAGGTACTGTGCAGCCACGTTCGCACCTGCTGGCTCATTTAACCCTGACAACAACCCTTTTCTGGGAGGAAAAAAATCAGAAAGGTTAAATCTGCCACTAAGGTCACACAGCCAGGAAATGACATAGCCAGATTTGAGCCTGGGTCTGACTACCATCTACCCTCTGCCACTCTGGCAACAGGGCACTGGAGACTAGAAAATAATAATCAAAGCTCAAATAAACTGTCCTATTTCTACGCGGGACTTCCCTACAGCCTGGTGCCTTCGAGGCCCCGGGTCTGGGGAAGCACAAGAGGAGCGCGGGGCTGGGAACTCGCGCGTGAGCTCTCTGGCACCTCGGAGTGCACAGAGGTCAAGAACAAGGGCGACAAATGGCCCGGGATGGTGCTTGCAATGTGTGGGAAGGCACTCCCACGTCTAGTGGCCATGGCGGGTGGGGCAGGCAGAGACCGGGCAGGGGCAGGGAGCCCGCTTTATGCGGGGCACACCGAGGCCCAGAGAAGCTCCCCTGCTTGGAGCTGCCTCTAGCTGAATGCTGGTCCCAGGCAGCAGAGTTGCAAGGTGTGGGCATCCTCGGGCTCTCCGAGATCCTCCTTCCTCTTTACCTGCCTCCTAGTGGCCATCACCTCCTGGGTGGCCATTTTCACACCCACCGACAGCATCCTCACGGCCTCCTTCCGTAGGTGGGCAGCGTGTGGGCCAGAAGGCCCCTGATGCCTCCCTCAAAAACCACTAGCCGGAGAGTCTCATTGGTGTCCCTTAAGCCCAGCACTCCTGGAGCATGTCCCAGGCCACCCACACCCACAGGGGCTCTATTTAGTTTTCCCAAAGGCAAGGGGCTGAGTACTCAGCTGCTTCACCTTGCTCCCTTCCAGGGCTGGCCACGACTCCCAGGCAGCAGCAGTGAGGAAAGGCTAACACGTGTAGAGATGACTGAACCCGGAGGGAATGGGAGGTGACAGAGCAGCGGGACCTCACAGGTGCCCCAATCTGTTCAGGCCAGCTCCCAGTGGAGACGGGGCAGGCCAACCTGAGCACCTACTGAGCCAGGTTTACGACAAGGCATGACTAGCCCCGTGGCCCCAGGAGGAGGCTGAGGTTTGGAGGAACAGCAGGGCTTGCTTGCCCGGGCCGCGAATGCAAATTTGATTCCAAAGCCTGGACTTTCTCTCCAGCTGCTTCTCAGAGCCTGGGAATTTTGTGGCCACAGCAGGATGGCAGAGGAAAGCCCCTTCCTTCGGGTGGCCCCCTGGGCTTTGCTGGTGACGAACCAGACCAGAGGCTGCCTCAAGGCACTCAGACCTCTCTTAGGTTGGCTTATGGGTGGCACAAGTGCCCCAAGCCTCCCAGGACTGGGACTGCACTCTTTATCCTCCGCTTGCACCGTGTTTAAAAGGGGAAGGAAGGAGCACTGGGCCAGGCTCCCCTCTCCCAAGGATGCCTGAGGTCCCGCTTGTGGAGAGTCTGGCCAGGTCATGACATGGGGTTTGCAGCTTCTGCCCAAGCCCTAGTTTCCCCAAATTCTAACTGCCCGCCAAACAAATCACCCCCCAAAGAGAAGAACCGAGGCCCTCCCCATTGCTCCTAGGACTCAGGACAGGGTGCAGTGAATGCTCACAACCTCTGAGACCCAACACTGAGCCTTAGTTGCAACCTGTTCCCAGTCCCTAGCCCATTTTCTCAGAAATGAGACAGCCACGGAGCCAGAGCCCATCTCTGGTAATGCTTTATTCTGCTGGGGGACCCTGGCTCCCCATCTGTCCCCCACCTCTGTCTTGTCTGAAGTGCCCTGTGCCCTGAGGCCTTCCAGACCCTGCCCCCACCCAGAGATTTTTATAATAAACTCATGAGAGACTATATGTGTGGGTACATGTGTGTATATGTGCATATATGTATGTATATATACAAATACACATATATATTCCAATTGTACAGCATTTACAGGTACAAATAAAATAAGCTTAAAAATTACAATGGTGGCTGAGACCCATCCCACTCCAGTTTATTCAGCAAATAGAAAAATAAAGCACCAGTTGGCCTTTGAATGGTATTTGGATTTCCATACTAACAAAGACAGCTTAGGTGGGATACATTAGGTTTGGCTCCAGCCCCAGCCGGCCAGGTCTGTGCTCCAGGAAGAGGCTGTATGTTAGCCTCTACCAGAGGCAGAAGGGATGAGGTTTCCTGGCCACTCTGCTTTTGCTTGGCCTGGGTGGCAGGAGTGAGCCTATTTCTCTCCAGACATGTGGCAGTCCGAGGCCAAAGGCTACATGGACCCAGGGAGTGGCAGGCCAGGCGCAAAGCCCAAGCCAGAGGAGACTGGTTCATTGGTGCCTTGAGACTTAGGAAAGGAAGGTTCCTCACCCACAAATCCCAAGCTACCCCAAATCGTCATGGCGCCTAGTAGGGGCCCATCGGTGCCCATTCTAAATCAGCCTCATAAACGTCAGCTTCGTATTCACACAAATAAAACAGCTCACAGTGGCTGGGGCTGGCCTGTGCTCTGCCCTGTGCCCATCTGCTCCAGTCCAGGCTCTCTGGAAAAGCCAGTTAGTTCAGGGCCAGCGCTGGCCCCAAAGACAGGTCCCGGAACCTCCTGTCCAATCTCAAAAGAACCCTAGCACCAAACGGGATGGCTTGGCCTTTCAGTGTGGCACCGAGCCCGGAGCTGGGTGGAGCACGCACTGTTCTCCACCTCCCACCCCTGCATGCAGGGGCCGCAGAGGCTTCGGGCTGAGTGGCGGCGTCGTGGGAAGGCAGAAGGCCGACACGGTCCTCCTCTCTGGGGAGAGCAGAACACGGTGTGGGCGTGAAGGTCAAGTGGAAGCGGGGCACCCAAATTCTCCTTCTCTCCCCCGTGTGTGCGGAGGCGCTTTAGGAGGTCAGGGCACCAGGACCGGTGGCTCCAGCCACCTGGGCCTTGCTTGGCCCCTGGCAGCAGCGTCTGCTCTCAATTCCCCTCACTGCCTTGGTGTCAGGGGGCCTGGATGGTGCCAACCTGGGGCCAGGCCGAGGCTCACAGCTTTGTCTCGGGGCCGGCTGCCTGCAGGGTGGGAAAGGAGTCCCGGATCTTTGCCACTTCCATGGCACACAGGTGCCCAAAGACTTTGTTGTACCAGTCAGGAGAGCGGCCCCTGGGGAGGTAGAAGCCAGGCATGAGCACTGGGTTTTCCCTGCAGCCCTCACTGGCGAGAAGGAAGAAAAGCTTTGCGCCCGCCCCGGGATCAATGCAAGCGGCAGAAAAGTAGGGGCGGGGGAGGGGAGGGGGACAAGGGGCGGGGTGGGCCTGCTACCTGAGGTCAGCGCGGCAGATGTGAGTGAGCCGGGAGCGGCCCAGGCCACAAGGCTCCATGAGGTACTGGGAAGTGAGAATGAGGGCCCGCACCCCCGACTCCGGCACGGGCTGCTCGGGATCCAGGGACTGGGAGACGAGCAGGCAGCCCCCACGAGGCAGGTCAGAGCGCCACATCCTGTGGGACACACACACTCAGATTCCTAGTGCCGGTCCCCGTCCCCCCTCCCAGGTCCTCCGCGCACAGGGGGGCGGCAACCGGAGAGCCTCTTACCGAAGCACCACAAAGTCGCGGCAGGGATGGGGTGCCATGCTGTCGGTGACATAGTGGTACAGCTCCACTCCCGGCATCAGGGCTTCCAGCACCTGGGCCCGCAGCAGGTCCTCATCCCAAAGGGCCCGCTCCCGGAGGACACGATGCAGCACCACAGCTGGAGGGGCCGCCACCTCCGCGGACACCTTCCACATCCGCAGCGGGTGCCCGTCGGGTGCCTGCAAGCCGTCGGGGGGACGGGGCAGCTGTCAGGGATGGGGGACTCCAACTCCACCCCCAAGTCCAGGCCTCAAACTGCAAGGCCCGAGGTTCACGTCGCTCTAGCGCCTGACAAGGGAGGGCTGCAGAACTCCTCTGCTAGCCCTGGCCACACTCACACAGGACCGTCCCCTTGCTCCCTGTCCTCTTTGTCCTCGCTGGATGTCTGCTTCTCAGCCTCTCAAGAGCACAAAAGACGACAAAACACACAATCTCAGAGGCCTATTAGGCCCTACCATGAAATGGGCACAATGCTTGGAATTTCTGGAAGTGAGCAGGAGAGAGGTTGATCATCCTCAAGGAGCTCGCCATCCAGTGTGGGAAGTGACACGTGTGCACGACAACAAAAGCTTCCATTTACGGAGACTTTCGTATGTGCCAGGCACTGCGCGAGCTTCTCACTCCAAACCGGATGGAAAGAAGGCTCTGAATGGCGGAGGGGCACCTTCCACCAAAGCTGAAGGGTGGCTTGCGCAGCGTCACGCTCGGGGGCAGGGCAGTCGGGCAGCAGGACAGCACAAGCGCAAAGGCGGGAGTGGAAGCGAGCATTCAGCCTGACTGCCCTGCAGCCAGGGGCAGCGGCGGAGGCTATCAAAGCAGCGCGGGGTCTGCAGTGGGGCGTTTGGAGCTCCTTCGGGCAGGCGGTCCCTGAGGGAGCTCCCTTGGTCTCATTTTGTTCTTGATTCCCTAAGGTGCCTGCTGGCTGGCTGTCATGCTCCAAGCATCAGTCCGAGGCACAGCAAGACTGGCTCCTTGCCCTAGGTTCCTCCCCTCGCCTGCACCACGGCCCTCCCAGCCCCGTGGCAGCCGTGGCTGGTGTGCCGCTCACCTTCCTGCAGGCCAGCTCCGTGCGCTGGGGCCCTGGCACGCTGGTCCAGCCCTTGAAGCGCTCGGCAGCGTCGCGCAGCAGCTGCTGCACACTGTCCTCCATGTAGAGGCTCAGGCTCACGCCAGCGGCCTGGGCTCGCCGCAGCTCAGCCAGGGCCGGGCCGGGAGCGCCGAGCTCAGCCGCGCTGTAGGAGCCACACAGTTGCAGCACCATGTCCTGGGACACCTGAGAGGGCACGCACACACACTGGGCTGGGGGGCCTGGGGGGCAGGAGACCCCAGGACAGGGGCGGACACTGCAGCAAGGTAGGTAAGAAACCCTGTGAGGGAAGAGCTGAAGTCAAGGGGCTTGGGGGTTACGTGTCAAACTGAGGCCTCGCTCTGACATGGGGCACTAAGGTCAGGCCTGACGGTTCCCCCGGGTCTGGGAAGTAGGCGCCATGGCCTGGGTTACTCACCTGGAAAAGTTTCTTGCAGTCACTGATCATGTGTGATAGGCCCTGGGTGGCAGCCATGTTCTCACTCAGGTCCCTGGGGCCTGGCCGGCCAACCAGGCTGCGTTTGCTCTTCATCCTGGACAGAGGGGCAGAGGAGAGAGTGGCACAACGGCACAGCACAAGATGGCCAGCAGGCTGGCGCCCCGCTCCCAGGAAGCCGCCTTCCCAGTGCTGACCACAGAACAACCTGCTGCCTTTCGGAAGGGCCTGCTCCCCAGCGTCCAACCAGCCCTGCGCCCCTGTGGCTGGGGCTGACCCCTTAGGCAGGGACACAGCAGTGCCAGCCGTCAAAGGACAATAGTGCAATGGTACCCAAACCCTCCCTGCCTAGGCCCTGACATGCCCTGTCCCATGTCACCTGGGCGAGGGGCTGTCCTTCTTGGAGATGTTGAGGTGGAAGATGGAGGGTGCCAGGCACACTGCCAGGTTGCCGGCTGTCATCTGGTTTTCCTCAGCAGAGGCAATGTCACTTAGGAAGTAGAGCAGTGTCTGTAGCACCTCTCGGTTCTCATCGGGGAGCAGTAAGGTGGCAGCTTGCGCTGCTGCCAACCACTGATCCTTGGGGAGGACTGTGAGGAAGCAGTGGCAGAAGGGCCTTTCTTACTGCCCCAGGGGCTCTGGCAGCGAGCCTCCTGCTCCAAAGAACGCACAAGGCACAGCAGGCCCAAGGGGAGCCAGGGAGAGCGGACAGAAAAGATTGGCCCCGGGAGGTCTCTGGGTACCACACCTAGCTCTGCTACTAACGTACAGTGTAATAGGTCCCTTCCTTTCCTCAGGGCCTCAGTCTACCCTCCCATATAATGGGTCTGGGGAAGCAGAATGTGCTCTCTCTCTGAGGGCCTTTCCAACTTCAGACAGTAAATGTTCCAGTGAGCTCATGGGTCCAGCTACATTCGCCCATACCAGGTTTATCTTCCACAAGCCCTAGGATCCCGGGAGGCTGAGAACGGGTCAGGTTGTTGGGGACGGGTGCAGGCGACTCACGCTGGTAGATCTGCAGGAAAGTGGTGGTGAGCTTGCTGGTGAAGATGGGCTCGGGCAGGTCCCGGAAATACTGCTTCAGCAGGTCAGCCACATCGTAGGCCGACTGGCCCTCGTAGCAGACGTTGTCAGGCGAGATCTCGTTCATCTGGCGTAGGTTCTGGATCCTGGACTTGACTCCAGACTTGCGGAAGATGCCCACCTGGCCCGTGCCGGGGAGGGGGAGACTGTGAGGGCGGCCCTGACCCGGGTGTCAGGCACGCAGCCCACCCCAGAGACTTGAGAAGCCTGCCAGGCTTCCTGCTGGGCGGGGTAGGAGACAAATGGCAAAAGCAAAGAGAAGGATGTTTACAGCCTCAGGGCCAAAGAAAGATGGAGATGAGCAGGGGAAGGCGGATCTAGGCTAAGGGAGACTCCTAGATCAGAAAGAAGCTGGCGCAGAGTTGGGCAGGAGGCTTTGGCTCCATCCCTGCTGGGCCTTGCCAAGAACAGGAAAGGTGGACCAGCCCAACCCAAGGGGCAGACCAGAGCAGTTGCCCTCCCCAGACCCTTGGCCTGGGGCCTCGCTCGGCCACCCCCAGCACCGTCTGTATGCAGGCTCCCCCGGGGCGCTCACCTGGTCCAGGCACTGGCTGCGCAAGTAGCGCATGGCCTGCTGAATGCTCTGTGGCAGCGGCTGGCCCGTGCGCTGCACGTGGATGAGAGGTGGCACCCCAAATACATGTTGTCCCCGGTAGTCTGGGGTCTTGTTCCTCTTCATGAACTTGGGCACTGACCTGTTTGTGGGGATGACAAGTGATCAGGGAGGGATAATGCAGTTTGGAGACTCTGTCTACAGTCTCGGGGGATCAGGTGGGGGGCGGGGGTAAGGAACGCACCATATCCCCAGAGTCAACACTCACTGAGCACCTGCTTTGGGCCCAGCCCTAGGGAGCCACAGAGGAACACAGAGAGGTCTCAGTCTGGTCAAGGAGATAACTGTGTCAACAGGCAGTGATAAATCATGTGGCCAGTAGTAGACCAAGAACTTGGGAGAAGACCCATGAGGGAGGGGAACTGTACCTAGTAGATCAGGGAGGGCTTCAGAGAGGAGGTGGTAATTCAGCAGGCTCTTGAGGGACAGGAAGGCGTTGTCCCAGAGAAGAAATGGGGAAAAGGCACTCCAGGCAGACAGAACAGCATAAACAAAGGCAAAGAGACAGGAAAAAGAGCATGGCACATTCAGGGAAGGGTGACTAGTCCACAGGCCTGTAAGATGGCACTACTTAGGAGTGGCAGGCTAAAGAGCCAGAAGGATAAAGTGGGACCACAACAGGGAAGAATTGTGGCGGGAAGAATCTGGATGATGGGGAGCCACAGAAGGGTGTCTATTTATCAGGAGAGTGACAACCAAAGCTTCGTCTTAGGATAATCCCGCTGATGGCAGCATGGAGGTCGGGATGGAGAAGATACAGTTGGAGGACTAGGGTCCCCCACCCCACACCCACCCCCTGGGCTGAGCGTCCCCACTCACCAGCCCCAGCCCTGCTTGTGGGGCACAGTGTACTTCTCCATGAAGGCAGTGAGCCGCAGCAGCGAGCCCTTGTGCAGGAGGTTGATCTGGCCTGCGAACTGCCTGTTGATCTCCAGTGACTCCGAGTTGAGGCTAGGCCGGTGGGAGTTCTGGAAGCTGTGCCAACGGAGCTTTCTGTTGGGGGGTAAAAGGGGTGGAGAAGGCCAGAGGAGCAGGGTTTGCTAAACCATAGAAAAGGTTGTGTTTTCCTGCTCGTTTTTTTTCTTCCAAAAGAAAGAAAATGCAGGGAGATGGGGCCACTTTTAACACTGCTACTAGGCCCCAGGGTGAAAAAAGCTTCGCCTTAGCTACCAGGTCTGAGCAGGGGTCAAGAAGCTCTCACTTGTAATCCTAGCACTCTGGGAGGCTGAGGCGGGAGGATCGCTTGAGCTCAGGAGTTTGAGACCAACCTGAGCAACAGTGAGACCCCGCCTCTACTAAAAATAGAAAAATTAGCCAGGTGTGGGGGCACGGCCTGTAGTCCCAGCTACTCGGGAGGCTGAGGCAGGAGGATCGCTTGAGCCCAGGAGTTGGAGGCTACAGTGAGCTGTGATGATGCACTTAGAACCTCTCAGGAGGTAGCGCAGCCTTCAGTCCCATCCGGTGCCTATAAGCAATAGGAGCCCCCACCCGACCCAAGACTACGGTGCAGGGGCTGCCCCAAGAAACCCCGCATGGCAAAGCTGGGGATCAGAGAGCATTTCCTCTAACACCCTCACTCGACAAATGAAGAACCGACGCCCAAAGAGAAGCTCTAATTTCCTCAAGGCCATAGCAGAGGCAGGTCCTAAACCTAACGTCCTGGTTTCCGAGTCCTGCACTCTTTCCTGGGAGCGACTGCCTGGAGGTGATCACCCAGCAGCCAAGGACCTGCCCCTGGGCCTGTGACTAAGAAATCAGATTCAGAGAGAGAGAGAGAGAGACAGCAGCCAAGGACCTGCCCCTGGGCCTGTGACTAAGAAATCAGATTCAGCGAGAGAGAGAGAGAGAGAAGAGCCCGTGCCCCCACCCCCACCCGGACTCCCACCTGCAGGGTCTGGTAAGCGAGGCCCCAACACCTGAATCACGCCGTTCCCGGGGCGCTGATGCCTGGGGCCCAGCCAGGGACCCTGCAGCCTCAGCCTCATTCACGGAGCTCCCGCTACTGTAAAGTTCACTGGAGGAGGCCACGGTGTCCGAGATGGAGCGTCCTTCTTCCACAGACAGGCTGGAGGTAGAGGTGGGCTCTCTGGCTGAACGTGCCTCCTGCTCATCGTCCCGGGTCGGGGCCTGGGGCTCGGCCTCTGCCTGCGCCGATGTGTCGGCTGGGGCCTGGGCCTGGGCCTGAGCCGGCACTACTGGCTGCGCTTCAGCCTGGACCCGGGCTACAGGCTCCCCATGGGCCGGAGCCTCAGCCCGGCCTTCAGCCTCAGCTGTGGCTATTTCTACTGAAGAAGTGGCCTCCTCCTCTTCCTCTTCTTCTTCCTCTTCCTTGTCCCCAGGCCCCAGAGCTGGGTATATGGCCTGAGACCAGAGCTCAACCCACTGCTGCAGCCCCCACACGTGCTGGAGGATGTCATCCACGTGGGTGTAGCTGCCCCTGCCCTCCTCGTCTTCGGCATCGGCCAGGCGAGCTTCAGCTGGGTACAGCTCCGGCAAGTTGTCATAGGTGCTGGCATGGCTGCCCGTTGAGCCACAAGAGCCACAAGAGTCCCGGCGCCCCTCGCAGCCCCAGCGCCTACAAGGCTGCCAGGCGGCCAGGCGGCGTCCGTGCTCTGGACACAGGCTCTCAATGGACAGAGAGCGAGGGAAGGTGCCCGGTTTGTGGTCCCCAGGCACGTGCACCAGACAGTCACCCCGGTGTACCCGCCGAGGATGCTGGAATGTGGCCACAGGCCAAGCCGCCCAGGCCCTCCGAGTGCCAGCGCCACTGCCACTGGCTGAGGTGGCTGCCCAGTTCTTGGCCCTGTAAAATCCAGCTGAGAGGAAGCCACGGCAACTGCGGAAAGACGAGGCTTTGGTGGCCTTCTCCGAGGCGGCTGAGCCACGCTTGGGCTCTGCTTGCTGGCTGCCACCCTTTTCCTTCCGCCTCAGAGACTCAAGGTGCTTGAGGAAGTTGCGGGAACGGTGCTTCTTGGCTTTGTCCTGAGGACCCTCCTGGCCCCGGGTGGGGCTGAGGAAGGACTGGTCACCCGGGCTGGGGGCACAGTCTAGCAAGGGCAGGTCTGCCGGCTCAGGCGGTAGACTCACGGTGATGGCTGGCAGGGAGGTGGCGCTAAGCTCGGTGAGGACACTCTCACAGCTTGAGGTCACTGGCAGGCCAGGGCTCGGCGGGGCCAGCAGGTCCGAGGAGCCCACGCGAGCCCAGCGCTTCCTTTCCTGCAGGCAGGCCCGGCGGCTGCCGATGGTGCACTGCTCCTCCCCGTCCGGGGCTTCATTCTGCGGAGGCACCACAGGCTTGGGTCAGAGAGGCCCTGGTGTATGGTAGCGGTGGCCTAATGAATCTAACCTCCACCGTTGCACAGATAGGAACACTGAGACCCAAAAATGGGAAGCCACTTGCCCAAGGCCGTACCATGACATGAAACAAATCCCTGACAGAGCCTCCCAGGCTACAGTCTTAGATTACGATCACAGAACACCAGAGTTGAAAGGGATTTTAGATTTTCTAATTCATGTCTTCCTTCGCAAGATGGGGAACCTGAGGCCCAGAGAGGGAAAGAGGTTCACCTGAGGCCACTCAGCAGTCAGTGGCAGAGACAAGAGAAGGCCCCATGGGTCTCCTGCTTCACAGCCCGGGGCTCTGGCAACCTGGCTGCCCCTACCTGACTCCGGGCCTCTTGTGGAGAAAGCTACATAGAGAGGAGACCAACAAAGCCCCAGGAAAGGAGGGGGTCACTCCTACGGCTGTGTTCCAGAGCCACGTGCACCCTTTCACTTTGTGCAATCCCCGACTGGCAGAGTGAGAAAGGCCTTTGGAAGCTATTAATCCAGCTCCCCCGATTCCTCGCGGAGATGGGGAAAATGAGACTCAGAGGGTTATGACCTCATGGGGGTCACTCGGGGACCCTAACTTCTAAGACCGTGGACGCCATGATCTTTCTACCACATTCTTCTGTCCCTGCCTCCTATTCAAGGAATTTTAGCATCACGAAGCAAGTGGTGGAGGCAGATGGATTTCTCTCATGAGAAGCCACAACTAGGTCAAGGTACCAGTAATCCCAGGAGGGAGAGGTGGGCTGAGGGGCGGGGGGAGGTCTCACACTCCAGCCTCTAAACCAGACTCAACCAAAGCCAGCAGGCTCACTGAGCCCTTCCGTCCGTATCCCCAGGCCGGGGCAAGGTACTGTTCTGGACACCTCAGACTCCTGGGATACCGCAGCTAGTTTCACAAGTGGTTCGTGTATGTCCTGGGTTTCCTCATGGTGCCACGAGACCACAGACCACTCCCCTTTCATGGCTCACCTGCTTGCTCTGAAAGTGAACCTCCAGTTTCATCGAGGCACAATTGTTCAAGGTCATCAGCCTCCTGCAACAAAATATAAATGTTCACCTAAGGTTCCCAACCCCCAAAACCTGGCATGGCCTACCCAGACACTCCCAAGATGCCATCTGCCACTTCACATGCCCAAGCCATCAAAACTTCTCCCAAGGTTTAAGCACCAGACATGACATTGGGAAGATTATGGCCTCTGTCCTCCAGCAGCTTACAGATTGGGAAATAAAGCACAGAAACGGGACATGCTCAAGATAAGAGCAGAGAAGAGGCACAGCAGACACACGGAGAGTAGGACAAGGAACTTCGAAGCAAACAGAGAAGGCTTCCTGGAGGACAGAAACGGGATCCTGAGGGCAAGAGAAATGGGGACTCCTATGCCACCCTTCCACAGGAGCCTGTGACAAGGTTGGAGATGGAAACAGATAGGAAACAGACCAGTGTGCGTATGAGGCTAGGACCGAGGCTAATGAGGTAGCTCAAAAGGCAGATTGCAAAGGGCCTTGAGTGCCATGCTAAAAAAACTTTGCGCTTCTACCTGTAGGCACTTGACAAATTTTAAGCAGAGAAGCCCCACTTGGATCTGTAAAAGGCTGGCTATGGTGGCTGTCAAGAGGATGGACCCAGGGGTAGGGGGCAGGTGAACTACAACACCGAAGCCAGGCAGGAGGCTACTGGAATACATCCAAGGAGAAGCCACGGATTGGACTCAGACAAGGACTGAGCTGGTGTAAGCAGAGAGGGGCTGAATCAGAGGAATGTTTGGGGATATAACTTAAGGCAAACAGAATCAAAGCCAATCTTGGCTTTCTAGCTAGTATGACTGGGTGGGTGAGGGTGTTACAGACACAGAAAACAGAATGAGCAACGTCACTGCACAAGATAAGCTCCATTAATAATCTGGGCTCCTCCTCTGTTAGACGTACAAGGGATGTTTTTTACCACGAGGAAGCCCCAAGCTGGGCCCTTGGCTTCCTAGGCGTGGCCCTCAGCTCACCTACCTGCACAGGGCCCCCAAAGAGTCCTCGTCCAGAAAACCGTGGTCCTTCTTCACCGAGCCAATATCCAGGGGAAAAAAACCTTCTGTACAGGAGAGAAGCAAAGGTGAGTCCAGCAGTAGATCAGAAACTCAGCCCCAGCGGCCCTTGAGCTGGAAGGGCGAGGCCACGGAGGAGGGGAAGCAGGAAGGCAAGAGTCAGAGCAGAAGGCAAAAAGCCATGTGTAAAGGGGGTCCAGGGAGCTCAGGGTTGGCAGTCGGGGGAAAGGGCTGGGAGAGGCCAGGTGGGTTGAGTTGCACCAAAGATCCCCGTCAGTCAGTGAGGCAGCTCCATGGCAATTATAGACCTGAGACACTAGGTGGCTGCCAAGAGCCAACCTGGGCTCCCCCAGTCCCCTCTGAATCCTGGGCTGCTCAGACAGGGAACCCTCTCCCTGGCCCAACGCAAACTGAAGGGAGTAGTAGGGAGGAAGCAAGGACAGAAGGGACAGCACAAAGCCAAACGGTACCTCTGCTTCCCCCTATTGCCCAGAGCAGAGAAAGGAAGTAGGGAGAAGGGGACAGAGAATCTGAAAAGTTCCACAGCTCTCTGCCTTACCGGTAAAACAGGCCCATTCATTCATTTACTCATTCAACTAATACTAATTGAGCACGTACTTTGTGCCAGGCACTGCATAAGACATTGGGCATACAGTGAACAAGAGAAAAATGGTTCCTGCCTTCATGGAGTTTTCACTCTCATAGGAAACAGACAAGCAGTACATGAAACCAAGATAATGCAGTTACAATGCCATAAAAGACATCGGCCAGGGTGACGGGGTAGAGAGAGGTTGGTGGGCATGGGGTTATTTGTAGAGAGGTAGTGAGCAGAGGTAGTGACTTCTGGGCCGAGTCCAGAAGCAGCCAGCTGTGCAATGAGACAGGAAAGAGGGTTCTAGGCAGGAGTAACATCGACATCGAGGCTCCGAGGAGGGAAAGAGCTTGGTATGAGCAGAGTGGAGACGAGCCTTGGAAGCAGAGGGGAGAGCGATACACGGCAGCCACATAGTGCAGTCTTGTCGGCCCAAGTAGAGCATTGGGGCTCATTTCATTCTGAGCGTGCTAAGAAGCCAGCGGAGGGTTTGGAGCAGAGGAGGGACAGTCAGACCCATGGCCAACAGGGGCTCTCTAGCTGTGGTGTGGAGACGAGAGCACAGGAGGGCAAAAGCAGAAGCAGGGAAGTCGGGAAGGGGGCTGCGCTGCAGCAGAGGAAGTGCTAAGAAGCGGGTTGATCCAAGATACACCCTGGAGGGAGCAAAGACTTGAAGGGTTCGAGACGGGGGATGAGGGAAAGGAGGAGTTAAGGATGATTCCTGGATGTGGGGCTTGCGCGAGTTGGGGGGATGGTGGTGCCTTCAGAAGTTGGGTTTTAGATCTATGAAATCCGAGACATCTCTCATACATCTGAGTAGAGAAGATGAATCCGGAGCTTGGAGAATGAAGTCTGGACAGGGGCATTTGGGAGTCATCAGAATAGATGGTACGTGGACAAAGGTACCATCTCAGGGGAAAGAAATGTTGAGAGAGAAGAGGGCCCAGGAAAGAGCCCTGGGACACGCTAACATTTAGACATCATTTCAGGAAGTGGAGTCAGCTAAGGAGACTTGAGAGCAGCAGCCAGGAAAGGGAAGTGTTCCAGAAGCCAAAGGAAGGAGTGGCCAACTGCACTGAATGCTGTTGAGAGATGGAGTAAGATGAAGACTGGGAAGTGACCACTGAATTTGAGCACATGGGGGTCACTGGTGAGCTTGACGAGGCGACATGGGGGTGAAGCTGGGGAGCAGTGTGGGTGAGGAAGAAGAGGGGAAGTGGAAATAGTGTGAAGAACTCTAGAAAAACAGAAAAATGAAGGAAAACAGAGAAATGATGAGGCCATTGCTGTGGGGAAAGTGAGGTCGAGGCTGGGCTGCCAGGGTACGTGACTCCAGGGGACAACCTTGACATTGTGTCCATGTAAATAGTGTCCTCGGGAGTGGTACAGAACAGTGACCCTGGTAAGACAAGGTACTCTAAAACATGGGCAACAGCAGAGTGTGTGGAGGCTTGTGAGAGCAATGCTTCTTGTGTGTGGTTGGAGAGAGGATCCGATTTGGCCCATTTTACAGATGGAAAGCTGAGGGATAGGCAAAGTTATAGGATGGGGGAGGGCAAGCAATGGAGTGGTCTTACCGTCAAAAAGCTGAGCATACTGAGGGAATCCTGTCGCTCGGAGCCACTCACATGCTTTTTTGGCCTCAGCTTCTAGAGCAGAACAGAGGGAAAGAAACAGGCAGAGACAGGGTGAGGAGGGTGCTGGCACCAAGCCCCCTGGGTACACTGCCTCACCTCCAGCAGGCAGGCGCATGTAGTTCTGGCGATCCAGACAGGGCAAGAAGCACAGAGGGGCTGGCACATGGCTCTCTGCTCCCTTTGCCGACTCTCCGGATGTCCTGGCCAAGGCTGTCTCGAGCCTCGTTCCCTGCCTGTGCCAAACCCCTCCCACTCTCCTGCCCACCGCCGAAGCCCAGAACCCACCCCGTCAGCACCTCCCTGCTGTGTCCTCCACCCAGGCCTTCCTCAGGGAGCCATCGTCTTCCAAGGCCCTGGGTAGACCGACCTAGTCCAGGCAGCAGACAGGAGATGTTGGAGGATGATTATTCTCTTCCTCATCATCATACCTAACATCCTCCAGCACTTCGATAGCCGAATCTCATTTGCATGCACGATAGCCCATGAGGCTCGTTTCCCTATCCGCATTTCACAGACATACAAACAGGCTCAGCCTCCAGTCTCGCAGGAGCGCCAGCTGAGCCCGACTCCGGGTCAGGGTCCCCACCTTCTGACAGTAGCTCCGCAGTGCTCCTTCCCGGCCTCCCTCGCCAGGGGGCCTCCCCAGCACTGGCCCAGCTCCACTCGGTGGCTCAGCCTATTTGCGACATGCTGTTGCACTGGCACGGTGCTGGCCTGTGGGGGTCCTGGAGGGCCATGGCCAGGCCAGCCTCTCACCTCTGCTCTGGGAGTTCTGGCACGGAGCGGGACACCCCTGCCAGCCTCAGTGGACACGTGCAGCTGCGCTAAAGCCCCAGAGGAGGCCCTCCTGCTCGGTCAGGGTGGGCTGAATGCCAGCTACTTGCTTCCCACCGGGTAGTGCCAAGGACCAGTGGTTGGCGGGGGAAGGCTGCGGGCGTCAGCCGGCAGAGCTGCTCTGGAGTCCTGCCCCCAACGTGGCTGTTTCCTTAGCTCCTGTGGCCAGAGTCTCGCCTGGCCCTGCTGACCAGAGGACTCCAAGGAGACTGGTGGGGTTTTTCCGAGACAGGAAGAGCTCTCTCTTCCCAGTGCTTACCCACAAGGAAATCCAGGACAAGATTCTGGCAGCTGGGACTGATAAGATAAAGGACAAAGTAGTGTTCTAGAGATGCTGGGCGAGTAGAGAAGGGAGGGGAGGCGGAGGAGGTAGAAGTCAATCAGAAAAAAATAATAAGCTCTGCGAGGGTCGCACACTGATGAGGATTTTAGGGGAGAAGAGAAGGCTCTGTAGCCCCTGAACGGGGGCAGGGCAGGGACGAACATCTGTGCGTGTCCGTGAGTGTACGTGCAGGTCGGTGCCCACCCCGGCATGCCTGCGTAAAGTGTAGCCACATTTGCTCATGTCTACAATCCATGAGGCTCAGCGTGGGATCGGTACCCAGCATGTGCATGCGCCTGTATCTGCGCGTGTGTGTTACTGCAACTTCCTAACCTAGGATAGGTCTAGCAATCGCCAGGTCCTCTGGGGGTCCTAGAAAGTGTCAGACCGAGCCCTGCTAGCAGTACCTCTGCTTGTCTGGCAGGGGGCAATGCAGGCCCGAGAAAGGGTGGAGCTCTCTAGGTCAGTGGCGGCCTGGGTGCTGTGGTGAGACCAGCCAGAAGAGGGGCTGCACGCCAGCCCAGGTAGCATCTGAGGGACACGGTTTTGCTGCTAGGACAGCTGAGCTAGCTGCCATAACACTTCCCTGTCCCCTGTCCCTGCCACAGCCCAGGAGAAGACCCTTCCCCACCTTAGTGCCGAGCTGGCAGCCAGTTCCGCATCCCTCTCGTTAGGGCAAAAAGGGGGTGTCAAAGGATGGACCAGGTCAGAATTTCCAGAGAGGTGGACACAGGAGGAGACAGCAACCTCTAAAGGGTCACAAGTATGGCCACTCCAGGCAGGGAACAAACCCCTGGGATAGGCCCGCATGCCAGGAACATAGCCTTGGATCCCCCTGCAGCCCTCAGTCACTCGTGGTGAGCGGAGGCGAGCGGAGGAGAGAGGCACCTCCCTCCCTTACTCTGGGCCTCCTTCCTCAGCCTGAAGAAGGCAGAAATGAAGTCCTGAAGCTTACACATCTGCACCATCTGCCAAAGCCACAGGGCCCATGAGAGAGTGAGGAGCTGCCTGCTCCCCTAGCCCGGGGTTGGCAGGAAGGGGACCAGCTCGCTCAACATGGGTACCAAGTTCTTTCATTCCTATGAGAGCCCGCCAGCCCCACAGCAGCGGCACTAACATCACCTTGTTGTGAAACACAGAATCCCAGGCCCCTCCCAGAGCCACTGAATCAGAATCTACATTTAACAAGATCCTTAAGCAATCTACACACACATTAAAGTTTGAGAAGTGCTTGTCTAGTCACACAGCTCAGCGGTTCTCATCCCTGGAATCAGTTAGGAAGCTATTTAAAAATACATGTGGGCCGGGTGCGGTGGCTCATGCCTGTAACCCTAGCTCTCTGGGAGGCAGAGGCGGGCGGATTGTTTGAGCTCAGGAGTTCTAGACCAGCCTGAGCAGGAGCGAGACCCCCGTCTCTACTAAAAATAGAAAGAAATTAATTGGACAACTAAAAATATATAGAAAAAATTAGCCGGGCATGGTGGCGCATGCCTGTAGTCCCAGCTACTCGGGAGGCTGAGGCAGGAGGATCGCTTGAGCCCAGGAGTTTGAGGTTGCTGTGAGCTAGGATGATGCCACGGCCCTCTAGCCCGGGCAACACAGTGAGACTCTGTCTCAAAAAAAAAAAAAAAAATACATGTGCCCAGGGCCCCATCCACAGAAGGCTGACTTCATCGGTCTGTGCTGGGCCTCCCCACATCAGTGTTTTTTAAAGCTGCAGCATGGGCACACTGAGGCCCAAGGGACTTTTCCAAAGTCATATCCAGTTAAGTGTCACAGCTGAAGACTACACACCTGACCTGGGAACTCCACGTCCAGTGCTCCTTTCTACTGCATTATGCCATCTGCCCTCAGACGCCACACAAGCAAGGGGCTTAGACTCAAAGGAAGCAACTCCAGGCCCCCAAACTTTTTTTCTGCTCCTTCTGGTCTAGTGGAGTCACAAGCCTGGGTTCAAATCCCCGTGCTGTCAAGTGCGCAGCTCTTTGACTTTGGGCAAGTCGCACAACCTGTCTGTGCATGTGAGTTTCCCCCTCTGTAAAACAGAGAGGGAGGGCATAGCATGCACCCCTCAGAGCTGCTGAGAGCTTGAAATAAAATCCTGGAGAAAACAAAAGTCCCTGGCACCTAGTACGAAGCACTCAACAAATGTGTTCCTTCCCAGTTCTGACTCTGAAGGGTCCCAAAGAAAAAGAGAAAACTGTAGAAAGAGGCCCAGCTAGTGTACCCTTCTGGGTCTGCATGACAGCTGCGCCCAGACTACTGTCAGAATTGGAGCCAGATGGCTCCGGGAAGTGAGATTAGGAGGCAGAAGTTTCAAAGAGGCTGCAATTGCTCCAAAAGACAAAGGAGCAAAGGAGTTCGGAGTAGGGCTGCACGCCGAATTCCCCAGCAGCCCTCCCTAGCAGGAATCCAGAGAATGTAATGGGTTATTACCAAACAGGATGCCAGGGACATTGGCTCCCGACAATACACCATCTCATGGAGGGCTGGGAGGCCCTGAGGCTTCCTCCCAGATGGAGCAGTCAGGGACATATGTCTTCGTGATTAAGGGCTGAACTAAGGTGCTTTGCCTTCGACCCTCCTACCCGTCCCAGCCTGCCCAGGCTGAGGCCAGGAGTGACCCGACCCCCAACCCCAGTAGAGTCAATTCACCTGGGGCTGGAGCCCAGGCGGCCCAGCTGAGGATTGACTTATGTGCCTGGCGGGAAGAGTGACACCAAGCAGGCTGAGGTGAGTGAGGTAGGAATGTCTGTGGTCCCTGGCCCTGCCTCTGTGTCCAGATGTGCAGATTCCAGGCTGTGGCTGCCAGCAGACTTAACTGCTATATTCTGCAGGCCACGCGTGCTCTGGCCAAAGCTAAGGTGACATGCCAGGACAGGTCAGTAACAGCACTCAGCTGGCACAAACTAGATTCCACTGAGATTTCACGCTCTCTCCCTGGGGAGGGGCCCAGATGATCCAAGCCACAAGAGTCAGGGGACAGGGCAAACTAGAAAGCTCCAGAGTCAAATCAGGCCTCACAGCCATGCCCACGTGTCTCCCGGAGGGGGTGGCAAAGAAGGAATGGGCGAGCAGCAGCGCGCGGCTTCAGAGGTCAGAGGCGGTATCTGCAGCCACGTTTATGCAGGCCGTCCACTAGAGATCCTCACGGCATGGGGCATTTTTCTACGCCAACAAGGATGGATCAACAAGGAAAAAAGCAGGCCTTCTGTTCTCGAGAAATGCTCTATGAGTGAGGATAGAGTTTACGCACCCAGGAAAAAGGCAGCAACATTTTCCCCGGAGGAAATGCAATAATGCCCAAAGATGATAACCAAGTTGGAAAAAAAGCCTTTTTCCAGTGAACTCTGCCTCCCTGCTTGCTGCCTAAGTCATCTGCAGCAACTTGTTCCGTTCCCCAAGCTTTGCACTCCAAACCTATGCAGGAGAAACTGACAACTTTCCTGCCTACCTCTGTGGTTACCATGCGGATTTGATCAGGCCTTTGCCGGTTTTGAAAGTGGCTGTATGAAACTTAACAAAAATAGCCTTCTCTAATGATAAGACTAGTTGAACTCTGTAGTCACGGCGTCTAAGGCACAGCTCAGATCGTGTCCTAGTTGTAAAGAGAGGGGAGAAAAGAGAGCTAGGACGAAGAGAGAAGGCAATCGGTAACTAGACGGCAGGAGCTAAGGCCTCAGTCAGCCATTGTCACCAACCCTACTCTTGACCTGGGTACCTCCTCTTCACACCACAAGTGGGCAACTGCAGTCCTTGTGCCTTGTGGTCACTCAGTGTGCTGTGAGAGAGCTGCCCGTGCCCCAGGTCCAGCCTGCTCTTTCCCACCCAAACAGACCAGCTCGGGCCCGGGGAC